TTTTTTCTTTTCCGATCGTCGTTGCAAGAAGGAAGACGAAGTACTCCCAACATCTGAAGGAAGTGAAGAAGACTCTAAAATGACCAATTTTCCCTCATAATTAAATAATTAAAAATAGTTTTAATTTTTCCGGCCAAAATTGGCCGGCAATTTGGCCGGCAGGACCAAATCTGCTAATAATTACATAGTTAAAGGTTTAGATTGAAAGTTTTGAAAGTCTCGTACTCAAATTATCAGTACCCTAATAGTCACAGGACCAAAAGTGGAATTTGTTCTATATATATATATATATATATATATATATATATATATATATATATATATATATATATATATATATATATATATATATATATATATATATATATATATATATATATATATATATATAGCAGCGGTGTCGCTAGGGGTTATCGCTGGTCACTAACTAATTTTTGGGTTTTGTTGTATCGAAATACAATGTTGATAAGTTTAATTATTACTTCAAAAAGTTAGTTTTAAAAAAAAAAAAAAAAAAAAAAAAAAAAACCAAAACCAATATATTATTAATTCAAATGCTCAATACAACGGAATAAAAGATAACCAAATTAAAGGACCATTTTGAGAGTGAACAGCCCGTGCAAAAGCATGAGCGACTTTGTTCATTGATATAGAAATAAACTTAATAACCACGATCTTAAAGTGTCGTTGATAAGCTCGGCATTCGGAAATAACACAACCTGCAAAGGAGAAATCCAGTGTAGAGCCGTTAAGAGAATTACAGATTGTCTTGCAATAAATAAAATCGGGACCTTCGTAAATCTTCTTTCCTTAACCCAAGATAGAGCTTTCTTTACCGTCATTGCCTCCACTAAGTGAGCATCGTTTAAGCTTCGAAGAGAGCCATTCCTAGCTGCCACAAAACCACCATTGTTATCCTAAATAAGAATGCCATAGCTAGCTTGCCCAGTTTCAAGGAATACGGCTGCATCCACATAAACAGCCACCATATCCGCCGGAATAGATACACTGTTAGCCAAGAGATTTACGTGGGTTGTTGCACTATGAACCTCCATCATCCCTTGCTGCCATTCCTCCACAATACGGTGAACTTCCAATTTAATTTGCACAGGATGCCACGTTTTCTGATTCCAAACCACCTCATTTCTTTCACGCCAAATGCACCAGCAAATGGCGATACACTTCAGCTTACTGATCACATCATCAAGAGCAAGTTGCCCTGAAAGCCACGCAACAAAGTCCTCATTAGCAGCAGGAAGAGAACATATCATAAGATCTTGCCAGAGAGGAACCACCTGCATGCACTCACACATCAAATGGAGTAAAGATTCTGGGTGCTGTTGACAGAGGTAACGTAGATCAGAGGACACAATATATCCACATCCTCTGTGAATGCAATGCTGTCAAATTACAATCATTATTGTGTGGACCATGGTCCATACAAGTTGTGTGGACCATATTTTGTATACTGTAAAATAATGTACATTCAGTATAAAAATTATGTAGATTTAGTACAAAAATAATGTACATTGTACTCAGGAGATGTATATTATTTTTGTACTGAGTGTACATTATATTGTATAATGTACATTTAGCACAAAAATAATGTACATTTAGTATATTAAAAATGAACTTTTTGTTATGGTGCACATAACACTATGTAGACCATGGTCCACACAATAATTTGCCGTCAAAGTAGGGATGACACAATGCACACAATCCCATACAAAATTTTTAATGTTCGGTGGGATCTTCAAGTTCCAAATATCACGCCACACAAGTTTGGAGACCTAATTCACTTTTTGAGTAAAAATTCGGTAGTCTATTTATATTTTTTTTCCTATAATGATAAGATAATAAAACTTACTTTTAAAAGGGGAGGAAATTACAAAGGTAATGTGTACAAAGCCTCAGAATGCTCTAAGGGGGGGTTTGGTTCACGAAATCTTGGATTACCCCAGGTAATAGGATTACCTCCTGGATTGTAATGTGAGATTTTGGGAATGTAAGATTACCTTGTGTGTTTGGTTTGGATGGTGTAATATAATATTACCTTGTTTGGTTCAAGGTTATATAGATCAATTTACAATAATGCCCTCAATAATATATATATATATATATATATATATATATATATATATATATATATATATATATATATATGTGTGTGTGTGTGTGTGTGTGTGTGTGTGTGTGTGTGTGTGTGTGTGTTTATTTATATCTATGAATGTATATCAAAACTTAAATATTAAAAAAAAAACTAAATATATAAATATACACATGTATATTTAATTATATAAACATATATTATATTAATTTCATTATTATTATTATTATTATTATTATTGTTATTATTATTATTATTATTATATAAGGATTAGTTAATAAGGGCAAAGTTGAAATAATTCAAGGTAATTTAAGATTATCTAAAAAAAATGGGGTAATCACATTACCTTGAAATATTATCGCCACATCAGCTTTCAGGTAATATAACTGTCACGCCCCACTTTTAGGACATGACCCGGCCGTATCGTTACGTGAAGACCTGTAACAATACGAAGCCTAACCATACATACCTCTCAGAATCTTCATAATAACACTTGAATATACAATAATTCCACAACCCAAAATGACAAAATATAATCGACTTATTCTTCCCAAAAACTCATCAAATCCACTATTAGATATTTACAATCAAGAGTAGTATGTCCAAAATGCATCACAAGCACCAAAGCCAAGCACAATGGTCTACAAAAAAACACAAAGGGTCAAAGGGAATGTCTAAATAAACAAAAATCCATGATAAGCTCCAAAAGTAGGACTAAGTCTCCAAGTTTCAAAAGTCACATTCGAGACCCCACCACTTGTGCTCGTGCTATTCACATGTCCTTAACTACTCTGAAACATGAGAAAAATACAAATAATGAGCTAATGCCCAGTAAGTGATACTCCTCTCAACCCCGGATCAAGTAGCCCCAATATAATACAAAAAGCTTTAGAGTAACAACTAGATGCAAAACTCAATCCTTAAATTATATCAAAATCATAACATACTTCCATCATACTATACACAAATTCCCAAAACGAAAAACTTTAGCTACATGGGCATCAATATTATTTCATAAAACAATACTTTCAAAAGCACCAATCATTCCTTTACATATAACTCATTGGCAACCTACAACCACCATTATATTATGTGGCACATGCCATTATCGGTATAATGGTCCAAAAAGACTCGACGATTCGGAATGAGTCAGGCTCGACGATTCAGAATGAGCCGGATGGAACGTTCCAACAAATAATTCGAAAGACTCGACGATTCGGAATGAGTCAAGCTCGACGATTCGGAATGAGCCGGATGGAACGTTCCAACAAATAATTCGAAAGACTCGACGATTCGGAATGAGTCAAGCTCGACGATTCGGAATGAGCAATTAGGAACGTTCCAAGCCAAACAAAACAAACAACAAAATGTAGGTTGCCTCATGAGTTTGATCAAATAATCAAAATAGTTCTTATAATCAATTAGCCTAATGTAGCAAAAATCATTTGCTTAAAATCACATAACAAAGTTCATATTTCCGAAATAGGTAATAAGTTTATCAAACTAAGAAATATGCAAGGTATAAACCATTCTCAAAATAATAATTTTCTTAGTACATAACTCTTTAGACATCATAGAATGGTTTATTAAACCAAAGTAATTTCAAAGGGATTGAAATGGCTTAGTTAGAAGAACTTAAGTTAATATAAGCGTGAGGTTAAGAGTTCAAATCTCACTTTAAGCAAACAACCCATTTTATAAACATATAGCATACAAGTAAAACAGCACACCAAAAATGGTAATGTTACCAGGGGGAGTTGAACACGCGACATGCAACATCTCACCAAGGCACCAACACAGCACCAACAAACCACTCCAACACCTCTACACATAGTGCCAGCTTTCAGTCCAGAATATATAAATCAAGACCCGAAACAGTTTCAGTCCAAAATACTCAACATTTCCAGGGCAAAAAAACAGAGTTTTGAAACACAGTTCCGGTAGACATTTCCAGTCCAAAAACGCAGCTCAAAACATCAATATACAACTTAAAACACAAGTTTAATTTATAGTATAGGGTAAAAATAGTTTGAGAGAAATAAACACTTACCTAAAACATCCAAATCTTAGCCATTTAGCTTGCCCAAATACTCCTTGTCAAAATCCCTAATATTTTCAAATATCAATCTTAGGGCTCCAAAGATAAACCCAACTCATAATGAGTAAAAGATAGAGGTTAAACTCACCTAGAATACCCAATATCTTAGAGATCTAAGCTTGAAGAAGATGGAGATCCAAGCTTCAAGGTCTTCCCTTCCCCTATCTCTCTCTAGTCAACTCCCCTTATCTTCTTTTAAAAGATATCTTTCTCCAAGACCAAGGGATTCCTTAATCTTTAAGGGTAGAGAAGGGTAATTTAGTAATTTTATCTAATATCAAATTTTAATAAGCTTTGACTTGTTGACCTCATTTACTAAACATATATATATATTATTTATAAGGTTGTGGGTATTACAATAACATTACTTGGTAATCTCATAACTTGAACCAAACAAGGTAATATAACACTATCAGACTCAGATGACCTAGGTAATCTAAGATGACCTGAACCAAACACTCCCTAAAAGAAAAAACCCTCCAAAAAAAAAAGAAAAAAAAAAAAAAAGAAAGAAGTAGAACGAATAATAATGTTTATTTAACTTTATTATAAACATATAAAAAATTCACTGTCGTTATAGAAGCATGAGACGTGTAGCCCTGAATCCATGAGATAAGAATTACCTTTTCAATGCTAAAATATGAGCTTGAACGGCTCATGAACTTGAAAGTTGAAATGATTTTAACGGCTAAATGTCTGCCCTTACACTGCTCTACGTACTCTCAACGTAACTTTTTTCTCTCTCTCTCTCCTCCATTTTGGTTTTGAAAGTTGAATTCAAACTGCAATTTGCTGTAAAAGAGAGTGAGAGAAAGAGCATATTTGGTGGCTTGCTGTTACTCCTTCCATCCTCAACAAGTTTCACTGGAGACATCAATTTGGTATTACTCTTTCCATTTTCCACAACCTCCACCGGAGACATTGAAGGGCAGTAGATCGGTTTGCTGCTAACTTCTTCCATCTTCGACAAGAGCCACCGGAGACGTTGAAGAGCTCGTGTTCAGTCTCGACGAACAAAAGGTAAGGAATATATATATATATATATATATATATATATATATATATATATATATATATATTTATTTATTTATTTATTTATTTATTTATTTATTTATTTTCTTTTTTTACACGAATGAACAAATGTTTTCAATTTCGTAGCTTTAAAACATACGAAACAAACAAGATTTGACTTTCATTATTAGCATTAATGTGGACCTCCAAAACTTGTGAAGCAAACATGAAACTGAAACACCCCCGGTCGGCCCTTTCTCTCTCTCTCTCTCTCTGTTTGATTTGTTTTACTGCAATATTAGGAAATGAGCGGAGACGATAGAATGATTGAGCTGTTCATCTTATTCCATCAGGTCTGTACATCTTAATATTTGATGTTCGTTTCTTTAAATTTGGGAGTGAATAATTATAGTATAGTAATTTGGTATAAATTATATTGTAGGATGGTATTCGCAGCAAAGTGAGATGTAGGCGTGACAAAATGACGAAAATTTTATTGGTAGCTTATTGTGACAAAAAACAGTTGGAGTATGGAGACATTCGGTTCCTGTATGAGGGGAAGCGCCTCCCCGTGAAGAAGACCCCGAATGAGGTATATATATATATATATATATATATATATATATATATATATATATATATATATATATATGCGTGTGGGGTGGGGGTTCATTTATACGAATTCAGAACTCTCATTTTCTGCAACTTTGAATTTGTGCATAGATGGGCATGAAAGATGGGGATGAGATCGAAGCATTTATGAATGTTCAGGGAGGAGGCCTGCTCGCCATTTGATGATTGGATTTCAACTTTCAATGCCTTTACTTGTTTTCAGTTTTCAAAAGCATGTATGTGTTTGTCCATTTTTAATTATGCTATGTATTGCCAAAAACCTCCTGGTCTAGTGACAAATTGCTCTTCTCATGGGAAACAATATTAACTAACAGAATTATTAGTATTTAAAAAAAAAATATATTCTATGTAATAAAATTGGAATTAAGGTAGGTGTAAGATGAAGTTAATTTCAAGAATAACGGTTTGACTATTCACATTTATATATTTTTATTAGGAAAAATGACATTTAGTTTCTGAGTCATTGAGTTAAAATCGTTTAGTCCTTTGATGTTGGTTTTAGGACTTTTGGGCCCAAGGAGGTCTTACGTACGCAACCGTAGTTGGTGGATTCACCGATAAATTAAAACTACTAAAAGGAAAAAATGACTATTAATCTTGCTTGTGTTGTTTGTACTGTCCGACACTTTTTGGCCGGAAAAAGCTTGCCTCTACATTCTCTAAGGGAGCCCTTTTATAGGTAGCCACCCCTTGTTAATTTAAGAGTTAATACCATCTGAGGTCCTCCGAGTATAGTGGTTTTGCCACGTTTAATCCTAAACTTTCAAATTGACCATATGTGGTCCTTCGACTTTCAAATTTAACCATCCGTGGTCCAAGTTAACCACCCATGGTCCTTCAACTATTAAATTTTAACCAACCATGGTCCTTTCAAGAGGATCGCGGCTGGTTAAATTTCGAAAGTTGAAGGACCATGTGTGGTTATTTGGACCACGAATGGTTAAATTTAAAAGTCAAATGACCACAGATGGTCAATTTGAAAGTTTAGGACTAAACGTGGCAAGACCACTGTACTCGGAGGACTTCATGTGGCATTAACTCTTAATTTAAATACAAATATCAATGCGAAATAATGGGGCTATTAAGATTAAGGGTCGTTGGGTTGCCGTTACTAGGCCTCCCCAACGGCCAGGTTGACTACGCATTACAGGCGGCCTTTAAGTGGTAACGGTCACCTGCCGGGCCGACCCTTGTCCGTGCCGACCGTCTGTCTGTGCCGACTCTTTGGACTCGGCTCCTCACTTGGCCGCGTCCTCGGGTCTTCCCCTGGCCCACGATGTAGATTCCCTTACATTCCCCTTTAGGGCCCATTACCGCAAGCCCAATCTCTGGTCCATTTCTTCCTTTCCTCTTGGGCCTTGAGCCCATTGGGTTCATACCCCATCAACTAGTCCCTCACTTTCTAGCACTGAGCCCGCTTGCTTGAGTGCGGAAAAGTACCAGGCTCTGAGAATTTTTTCTATGCAAAACATCTCTATCATCTCTACCGTTTCCCCTTTTTTCCGCCCAGACTTGATGGCCGAATCACTGCTTGATTTGTAACGATATCTCTTTGATTGCCCGTTTTTAATTCTCCCCCTCCTTCCAACTTATAAATAGAGCAAATTCTTCACTTCTTTTCCTCATTCCTTCTTGTCTTCTTTTTGCCATCCATGGGTTGCTCGAACCTAGTTGCTAAGAAGATTGATTTTGACTCTCCGGCGGGTTCTCCAACCCCTCCGGCCAAGCGAACGAAGCTTGGTAAAAAGAAGGAGATGAATGCCAAGAAGGTCACCTCTCGCAAGCGCTCCGCGGATCCTTCCACGTCGGGGTCTCGCATGGCTAAAGATGTTCCTCCTCCGAGCACCAACTCGCCTCGTCCAACTACTGCCTGGGTCACCGCTGAAGACGGCACGTCGGTGGAGGTGGCCATGCCGGAACAGATGATGTTTGAGATGACTTTTACCATCCCCTTGTACGATCCCACGGAGCCGACGACTGAGCACCTATCCGATGCCGACTATGCTTGACTCCTGGAGACCTACAACGGGGATGCTTCACAGGTTGCTCCTCCAATGATGCCGGCCTTCTGGGAGTCGATTTGTCCTTCATCGACCGGTTCGGAGTCTCTCAATGACCTATCCTTTCTGGACGACCAGTCCTTCCGTGAGAAGTGAATCGTGCAGGTTGTCGGAGTGAGCTGTCGATGCGAGTTGCTGATGTTGGCTGCTGATGCTAATGTTGGTTTTACCTTAGGAAAAACACTAGGGCTTTAAATAAAGCTTTTCCCAAATGTTCGTTATGTTTATAAGCGCCCCCCCCCCCCCCCCCCCCCATAAAATATGATTCTTCTTTTTCTTGATTCACTATCCTTTTTAATATTGCCTCTCGAATGCATTCTCAAACGTGTTGTCTACGCCCGGTATGGGCATAACGCGCCGACTCCCCTCCTTAGGATACGACCGGGGAGTCGTTCTTTTCTTTTTTTGAGCGTGGTCGACCGTATGCGACCTCCTCCTCCGAGTTCTGGCCGACAGAGCGTCCTTTTCGCTTATCTCATGACGGCTCTCAGGATCCGACAGCTTCTCTTATCCGGGTATCTTTCCATATCTATGGGAGATCTGATTTTTGTCCAAGGCAAGAATCTTTCTTACCGAGATTGGCCTGATAGGGACTTTTATTGACAAAGATTCTTGCCTCGATTAACCCTTTTCTCTGCATGCCTGCTCAAAAATGGTAATCTCGCGATTTGCCTCAACGGTTCCACCTTGAAAACCGGTCTGCTTTCCTTATAAATGGGATCTTCGCCTTATCTTCCTATTTGACCTTCATTATCCTTTCTTTTCTTTCCTTCTCTTTTCCATGAGTAACAGAAACGGTGACTGGCGTTCTTCCCGTCGCTTGGAGGAGCAAGCCCGTCGTGAGATGCTAAGGCAGCAGAGGCTAGCCCACGGGGGTCATGAGGTGGGGGACTCTTACTTAGACCCCATCATACTTTCGCCGAATATGCTGGACGTGGTGCCTGCCACTTCCGTCGATCGTCAAGTTGAACCGCTCGTGGATGAATTGCCAATAGGCGAGGAGGCGGAATGGGTGGCTCCTCCTTTATTTGGTGTGGCAATGTCTCCGAGTGCCCTTGAGGCTCCCCTTCAGATGATCAACGATGGGGTGCCACCGGTTTATGTCCCTAGTTTTGACTCCATCTCCTCTGGTGCTTCTTCTTGAGGCTCCCCTGCCACTGGAGGTCGAGCGTCCCAACTATCCAACTGAGAAGAAGGCGTATCCCTGATTCCTGCATCTCATTTGTTCGTTTTATTTAATTTTCTTTTCTGTACGCCCGTCGTCCTCCTTCAATAAATGAATTTTATAACGCTTGCCGTCTTGCTTTATTATAATGACTTCAATTGTCTCCATCCCCAGATGGGCTGATCGCCCAATGTCCAATGCTGAGTGGGCTGACCTCCTTGGTTAGACTCTTGGTATCGGCCTCAATGCTAGGTGGGCTGATTGGCCAATGTCCAACGCTGAATGGTCGGCCCAACGAATAAGTGAGCCGACCTCCTCCGTTAGACCCGTGGTGTCGGTCTCAAAACTGGATGTGCTAATTGCCCAATGTCCAAAGCTGAGTGGTCGGCCCAACGAATGAGTGGGCTGACCTCCTCGGTTAGACCCTTGGTGTTGGCCTCGAAACTGGATGGGCTGACTACCCGATGTCCAACACTAAGTGGTCGGCCCAACGAATGAGTGGGCTGACCTCCTCGGTTAGACCCTTGGTGTCAGACTTTGAACGGGTTGTGTAACACCCCACCTTTCTAAATCCTAATTACAATTCTAAACCACAATTATTATAAACTAAGCAGCGGATAAAAAACTAAATAAGTAAACTAGTGGGAATGTCACCGTCACAACAACCATTCCATGATGATTGCACAGGCTAAGGATGGAACTAGAATAATAAAAGTAACTAACATTCATATTTCCTAATCAAAAGTCATAAGGGAAAAACATCCTGAAGTCTAACATCGAACAAAATATCAAAGTCTACAAATCCATAAAACTAAACATCATGATAATAAAGAGAGTCCAGACTACTAGGTCTACTAGACTAATCTAACTCGATCATCTCTCAACGCTGGACCCACCTGAAAGGGGTTTTACAAACAACACATAGACAAATAGGAAAACCCCCGTTAGCATGAAGCTAAGTATAACCACACTCAACCCTGTAAAGTACTATAGACTATACTTTGGAAAAACATTTGTTCACATACTAAATCAAACAATCTCATCACAAAGACAACTGTAGATACATACTTTTTATATGCTTGCATCCTATAATATCAACATGCATGCTTCAATACAAATGACTCAACAACATAAATACTCCAACACATATATGTCATAACAAAGCTCATCATAACGAACACATGCTAACAAGCAATTGCATACTATCAATCGATACGAAACTATCTTCATGCTTTCAGGTTCTCATCATGCAAACTGGATATGTAAGACATAAAAATGTAACTAAAGCAATCATGCTCGATATACAATCTCAATTAATCATTCTCATTATGCAATCTCATGCAATACTATACTCAAATTCAATCTCGTGCAATACTATACTCAAATGCAATCTCGTGCAACACTATACTGAAATGCAATCTCGTGCAATACTATACTCAAATGCGATCTCGTGCAATACTATACTCAAATGCAATCTCGTGCAATACTATAAATATACTCATACGCTCGTTTGTAAAAATAGAATACTTTCTATGGAGGTCTCTTTGAGTCATGAAGACTTGCTTTCTTTCTTTCTTTTCTTTGAGTCGCAATGACTCACTTCTTTCTTTTCTTAGGGTCGCAATGACTCACTTCTTTCTTTTCTTAGGGTCGTAATGACTCACTTTCTTTATAAATGGACGAGGTAGGAACTTCACCATAGTGTGAATGAACCAATCCGGGCACGGTGTCTAGCCGACCTAATACTCTACTCGTCCACCGAACCACTCTCTTGGTTCTATGCTCAAACTCTGTGGAATCAGGTATCGAACTATTAGCGTGCACACCCCCTGACCAGGATTCCAAGCCTGGCGGACAGTTTCCAACCTCGTAACATGGGAATACGCCGTGTTACATATACTGGGACCGCAATGTCCATAAAAATCATCCGAGAGGACATAGTCCATACGGGGTCCTCCATGTTAGACATATTAGGAATGTGCATGATTATAGTGATTATGATTTGATTGTGAGTGATTAGGGTGATTAAGTATTGATTGTATATTGATTGTAATTAGTCCTTTCCTTTCTAGTAGACTAGAGTATTATTATATTATACTCTTGTAATCTTGTAACACAATTATTCTACAGAAATACAAACACTCATTTGGTATCAGATTGTGATAGGTATCTCTTCCCTTCTTTCTCTCCTTCCCATCGATGGCCAACACCTCTTCTGAACGAACAGTCACGACCACCACCGTATCTCCCACTCCGACCTCTACCCAAAATCACCTCTCTTCCGCCCATCATTTTGTGTCGATTAAACTGACGACACGGAACTATCTTTTTTGGCGTACACAACTCATTCCATTCTTGCGTGGTCAAGGTCTTTTGGGGTATGTCACCGGAGAGAATCCATGCCCACCGCCGGTGACTGCTGCGATCACCACCTCCGCCGGCGCTGCAATTGACGAGGCGACATCGACTGCTCCGAATCCGGCGTTCTCCAGTTGGGTCCAACATGACCAATCTATACTTTCCCTCTTAATCTCCTCTCTTTCCGAGGAGGTTATGTATTTAGTAGTCGGCCGCTCCACCGCCAAGGAGGTGTGGGATTCAATCGAGTCCGCACTTGGGTCCTCCACCAGGGCACGGTGTCTCAATCTTCTCAGCCGCTTCCAAGCCCTCCGACAGGGTGACATGACACTAGCAGAATACCTCGGCAAGGCACAACTGCTTGTGGAGGATCTTGCACTGGCCGGACGTCCGATCTCCCTCGACGAGCAGAACATATATGTCTTCCGCGGTCTCCGCCCGGAGTTTCGATCAATGGCAGCTTCCTTGGCCGTTACAGGTACCCCGGTGTCTCTTCCTCAACTCTCCAATTATTTGCAGGCCCAGGAATTCATTTATTCTGATGAATTTCCGACGGGTGGATTGCCGACTGGTTCGCCGACGGCAATGGTTGCGAATCGCGGTCGCCGGCAGTCGCGTGGAGGAGGACGCGGGAATAATCGCGGTGGTGGCCGGTGGAACACTAGTCGGGGCAGAGGAGGCTCACCGCGTTGCCAGATTTGCCGGTCTCACGGGCATACTGCGGTTTATTGCTTCCGCCGGTGCAGTAACCAGCCACCTCCTCAAGCCAACGTCGATGTGAACGGAGACACCGCCGGCAGTGCTGCAGTCTCGACCACCTGGTTCCCAGACACCGGAGCCACCGCACACGCCACACCGGATGCTGCCATGCTATCTAATTCTGAGGAGTACTCCGGCGGGGATGTTCTTCGCGTTAGTAATGGGACGGGTTTAGGTATTTCTCGTGTTGGTTTTGCTTCGATTCCCACTGTTTCCAAATCCTTACAATTGTCAAATGTGTTATACGTTCCTAAACTGTCGGCTTCATTATTGTCTGTTTCTCGTTTCACACTTGATAATAATGTCTATCTTGAATTTCATCCTAACTTCTTTCTTGTTAAGGATTGCATCACCAAGACGGTTCTTCTTAAGGGACCCAGTTCGGGTGGTTTGTATCAGCTGTCAGTCCCGAGGTCACATATGGCTTTCCTATCCGCCCGAGCTTCCCCCGTGGTTTGGCATCGTCGGTTGGGCCACCCGCATGATCGTGTTCTTACTCGTGTGCTACGGGCATGTCCAGTCATCCCTCATAAATCGAGTTCCCCACTTTTATGTTCGGCTTGCCAACTTGGCAAGTCTTCGCGTTTTCCTTTGGATAGAATAAACACTTCTAGTTGTAATTTCCTTGATCTTGTGTACACGGACATTTGGGGTCCGGCTCCCATTGTTTCAGCCGATGGTTTTTGTTATTTTGTCTTATTTGTTGATGACAGCACTCGCTATTGTTGGTTTTATCCACTTCGTGTAAAAACTGATATATATAAGGTCTTTGATTGTTTTAGGGCCATGGTAGAATGATTGTTTTCTCATTCTATCAAGGCCATCCAGTCTGATTTAGGGGGTGAATATCGCCGTCTGCATTCTCTTTTTCTATCTCTTGGCATTGTGCACAGGCAATCTTGTGCTTATACACATGAGCAGAACGGGCGAGTAGAGCGTCGGAATCGGCACATTGTTGAGACTGGTCTAGCTCTACTTGCTGAAGGCTCGGTACCTCTAAAATACTGGGATTCTGCCTTTGAAACCGCAACCTACTTAATCAATCGCCTACCGTCCTCAGTCTTAAATTTTGACTCTCCTCACTTCCGTCTATATAAAACCCCACCAACTTACACTTTTCTTCGGGTATTTGGGTGCCTATGCTTTCCTTGTCTACGTCCATACAACCGTCATAAAATAGAGTTTCGGTCCGCCCCATGAGTTTTCTTAGGGTACCCCATGTCTTATCGGGGATATCGTTGCTTAAACCTTAACACGGGGAAAACCTTCATTTGTCGCCATGTTAGATTTGACGAATCTGTTTTCCCTTTTGCTACAGCAGCTTCTGTGCAGGGTCCAGGACAGAGAGTGGACATTACTGAACCTTGGGGTTCAAGTCCAGTAGTACCTCTTACTGAAGGCTCGTCTACTTCTCCGTCTGTCCCACCAGTAAGGGATACGGTTGCTCCATTGGCTATAGAATGTCCCTGTACCCGTCGGTCTAAGCAGCCAGTACAACAGAGTCACGTCATGCGCTTGCGTCACATGACTCGGGGTACCGATGAACAGTTTTTAGCCCTTGCTGCAGCTAGTGACACGGCTGATCCAACCTGTTACACTCAAGCCGTCAGTCACCCGCAGTGGCGGGATGCCATGGACCAAGAGTTCAATGCCCTGCTTCATAATGACACCTGGACATTAGTCCCGCCGAAACCTAACATGAATATTATCGGGTGCAAGTGGGTCTATCGCACTAAACGAAAAGCTGATGGGACTATTGAGCGCTACAAAGCGCGTCTAGTAGCAAAAGGGTTTCACCAGGTGGCCGGCGAAGACTTTTTTTGATACTTTTAGCCCCGTTGTAAAACCTACAATGGTACGCTTGTTGTTTTCTTTTGCAGTATCTCGCTGATGGATTCTCCGTCAACTTGATGTCCACAATGCCTTTCTCAATGGGCGTCTATCTGAGACAGTCTTTATGTGTCAGCCACCAGGATATGAAGATCCAGGCCGTCCAGATTATGTGTGCCATCTTCAACGCTCCTTGTATGGTTTAAAACAGGCTCCTCGGGCCTGGTTTAAACGCCTTCATGATTTTCTTCTGTCTGCAGGTTTCACTGCCTCTAAGACCGATGCCTCTTTATTCCACTACTCAGCTGGCTCTGCCCGTGTGTTCTTGTTGGTGTATGTAGACGACATCATTATGATGGGAGATGATCAGACCTTGCTTGACACCTTGCTACAACGGTTATCTACGGCATTCAAGATTCAGGACCTTGGCATGCCAAGCTTCTTCCTCGGGATTGAAACTCTATCCATCGATGGTGCCCTTGTCCTATCTCAGCGTCGCTACATGGGAGACATCTTAAATCGGGCCGCTATGACTGACTGTAAGCCCCTCACCACCTCGGCTGCTGTTACTCAAGCTGTTGCACCTAATAATGAACTCTACGACAATCCCACACAGTGCCGCCGCCTTGTCGGCGCCCTTCAATATTTAACAATCACACGCCCGGATCTCTCATACTCTGTCAACCGCCTGTGTCAGTTTATGCACGCCCCAACCATTGAACACTGGGGGCTTCTACAGCGGGTTCTGCGGTATGTTAAAGGGACGCTATCTTATGGTCTTCGTTTACAGTCCTCTACATCCACTGACATTCATGCATTCTCCGACTCGGACTGGGCCGGGTGTCCAGTAGACCGGAAGTCCACAAGTGGCTATGCTGTGTTTCTAGGCACTAACTTGGTCTCGTGGGTCTCCCGAAAACAACGAACCATGGCCTGATCTTCCACTGAGGCAGAATACAAGGGGTTGGCAGATGTTTCGGCTGAAGTCACTTGGGTTATTTCACTGCTGCGTGAACTTGGTTTACACTCAGGTCGGCCCGCAACGCTTTGGTGCGACAATCTTGGGGCCACATACCTCTGTGCTAATCCCGTTTTTCATGCCCGGACTAAGCACGTGGAAATTGATTTCCACTTTGTTCGTGATAAAGTTGCCTTGGGAGAGTTTCAGGTCAACTTCGTTTCTAACTGGTAGATATCTTTACGAAACCTCTCCCGTCATCTCGTTTTGGACTGCTGCGTGGCAAGCTCAATGTTGTCTTCATCCCACCTTGAGCTTGAGGGGGTGTGTTAGACATATTAGGAATGTGCATGATTATAGTGATTATGATTTGATTGTGAGTGATTAGGGTGATCGAGTATTGATTGTATATTGATTGTAATTAGTCCTTTCCTTTCTAGTAGACTAGAGTATTATTATATTATACTCTTGTAATCTTGTAACACAATTATTCTACAGAAATACAAACACTCATTCTCCAAAACCTCACCAATATAGATAATATATAAATATATCACTCATGCACCAATCTCATGCATGTCATATCTCAACAACTTCTCAATGCATCAAAATAATGATATAGCACATGTTCATGAATTTTGAAAGTAATACTTAGGCTCACGTTGGCCATTTATGCACTTTTAAAACATGTTATACTTGAAATGCAAAAATGCTATACAACATGCTTCAAATTAAATATCACAGTGAACTTTCAAGAATACGCCAACATGCTTGTATTGCAATATATCAAACTCTTCATATTTCTACCATCATATTAGACTCCAAATCCCATTGATCAAATAACATATTCTAGTCATGCTTTTCTAATAAATTTTATTCTCTAAGTGAACATGCTTTTCTATTCATCAAGTAAATAACATTAGGGCAACAAAGCAAAGCAAAGTAAACTCTTCATATTTCTACCATCAAATTAGACTCCAAATCCCATTGATCAAATAACATATTCTAGTCATGCTTTTCTAATAAATCTTATTCTCAAAGTGAACATGCTTTTCTATTCATCAAGTAAATAACAGTGAACTTCATCATACACACTGTGAAGCAAAATCATCAATAAATCCATCATAACATGCTCATTTCTAATCCAAATTCAACGAAATCAAAGCAGAAACGTGCGTCGAGACGGCCCCGAGGTACCGAGCCACAAGGGCCCGTGACACCTGGCCCGAAACGACACGTAGCTGAGCCAGAAGGGCCCGACCACTCCACAGAAAACTCACAGGGACCAGGGGGCGGGGCTCCTCATGGCCCACCCCTCTCAAGCCGCCACAAAGCCGGGCCTAGGCAACGGCCCTCTCCTAGGGCCGTGCCCTAGGCCAGGTTGGCCACGGCTCTAGCCAACAGTCCCCTTGATGGGCCATTGGCTAGGGCCGTTACATTTATTTAGTGCACATTGTCTATGCACCAGATACTCCATTTCATCTGCAAATCAATTTCAAGCAATTCCAGAGGGAGTCCATGGGGTTATACCTTAAACTTGCTCCAAATGCCAAACACTTGGTCCTTGACTCAACTCCAAAGCTGACTACTTGAAAAGGAAACCTGTGGTTCAATCCAACTCTTCATTCACTTACAAATACTATTATTATTAATAATATTATTAAACTATAGTATATTATCCGTTATCATCAAGATTCAAACTAAAGCCTTCTACATACTAAACCAATACTCTAACCACTACAACACCTTAATCATCATTAACATCTTAACACATTACTAATGTTAAATCCTTAACATTACCGCACCTTCATCTCCTTCTTTGTACAGCCAGAACTGACACCATCTCCAACCTCACCAAAGCTTTGCCGGGAAGAAGATGACCAACCACTGCCCTGCTTTGCCGCTGAAACTCGACGCCAGAAGATAGGGTCTTTACTGCACCGCCGCCGTCGACAAGAAGCTCACCTACGGGTCTTTCTCGTCGGAGACCAGGCCATGCTGCCTGAAGCTTCACCTTAGCTGTTCCCTCGCTAGAGAAGGGGAGGTGAAGGTCGCCGGAAGAGAGGAACCAGCCACGCCAACCACAGCCGTTGTAGGAACTCTGCCGTTTCGTCGCTGTCGCTACTTTACCATCGCTGGGAGACGCTGGTCGTTGCTTCTGCTACCTGCTATGTGACGCGAAAGAGAGGGAGAGATGGATGGGTTGAAGGTGGTTGCCTATTGATTCATTGTTGTTGTCTTCAACTGAAAGAGAGGCAGGGAGAGAGAGACGAAATGAGAGAAATGGATAGGTGGTTGTTTGGTTGCTGAAGTATGAAGGGAAAAACAAACAAAAAAAAAAAAAAAATATATATATATATATATATATATATATATATATATATATATATATATATATATGTATATATATTAAATAGATATAAATGTAGATAGGGTTACTATTATAAATGGGTTGGGCTTGAGATGAATTTGGGCTCAATCAAATCATTTGGGCTAAAAATACATTTGGATTAAATTAAACACACTTGGGCTTAAGAATTAAATCATTTAGGATAGAAAACTGATAAGAATAATTACGAGTCCGTCTCTAATAGACTGTTGGCTCAAAATTTTAGGAAATTAATCATCGTCGAAATAAAATAATTTAATTTTGAAATTTTATAAAATATAAATTTGGAATTAATATTTTGGGTTGTCACATTCTACCCACCTTAAAAACAAGCTTCGTCCCCGAAGCTTAGACTGGAAAGATTTGAAATAGATTGGATAGAGTTTCTTTGGAAATACAACTTGAGACTTGTTATAAAAAGGCTTTAGGGCCAAAGAATATGTTAAGAAAGATTGCTCTTAGGGATGGTATTGATCAAGAGTAGGGTCAAGATTACAACTTAGGAGATAACGTTGCCACCTTGTACAGACACATTCCGAAAGGAAAACAAGAACGAGGTCTGACAAGATAGAAGGAATTTCTCAACAAAAGGGATACTCGATTCTACCAGAAAGGAAGAGGAATTATACCTAAAAAGGGAATAGGAAACTTGACTTGAAAAGGTTTCTTCGGTTTAACGATTCGATCACAACGCTTGACGATTCGATAGTTCTCGTTCTTACTAATCTTTATCATTTCCTTTCAGATGAAACTCCTAGCAATACAATCTTAGTCTTTCAACCTTTCAATCCTCTTATCATAAACTCAATTACTTCTTACTTCATTCTCACCTAAGTTTCATTCTTTAAGCCCTCACACAACTTATCATTTCCAAGTTCACATCCCTTGCTATTTTCTTATTAATTCAATTCTTAGTTCTTCACCCTTCATAAAAATATACGTCTTACTTACAACTTTTCTTCCCACCTTCACATATTTCACAAGTCCAAAGTCATTATCAAACGTCTTAGACTTCATTCTTTCGGAGTTCACAACTCCTATCTTATCCATTTCTTATCTCTTTAAAGGTAGAGAGAATCATCTTCTCGTTCGTTCAATCCATCCTTAAGTCCAAATTCTCGGTGTTTCAGGTTTTACTTCTAACCTTCGAGTTTAGTTTTGAAATTCTCCTCGCCATTGATCTCAAAAGCATCTACTTGGGTGGGTTTGTCTTCTTCTTGTTGTATCAACATTCACACTTGTCTTCCTTCTACAATTGTGGATCTTTAACCGTGGTCTCTAAGCTCTAATCTCTTCATTTTCTTCATATTTGTCTCTAGCTGCACGAAGATTCTGTTCAACTTTTGGGGTTAGCTTGGGTCTTGTAGACGATGATGCCGATCAATTCGAGCAAGAACAGCTACAACTGGCTCTAAGCCGCACGTGGAGTAACCTTCTTCATCACGTTCTTCGGTTGACTAGATATGCGCGCTACTACTTTACTTCTTCGCAACAAAAGATCTCACTACTCCTAACTTTCTTTTCCCAAAAACAAGGATCACACAAGCAGAGCACACAAACAGGATATAAGCATAACTCTTATACTTATCACATTAACAACTTTTACATACTTTCAACTTTAAACTTTTCAACTTCTCAAGGGTATTAACAAGGCAAAACAAGGCAGCCACTTAATTGACAAACTTGGACTCAACAATTAGGTGCACACTTGATTTGAAGGAATTTCGACTTCACAAAAGAGGAAAGTAAGAGATTTCTAAATTTGAAACTCGAGAGAACTATTGGTTACAACCCAAGTTCTGTTTATCAAAGTCAAGATTTTAAAAGATTCGACAAACCTCGTGAAACAAAAGTTGTGGATCGAATTCCAAAAGAAGGACACAACAAAGAATAATCTCAATGAAATAACTCAATACTAATGGATTCCAAGTAAAGATGCGATAAGGATTTAATCTCAAGCAATAGATCAACACTAGTGAATTCCAAAGGATGATATAGAAGAGAGATAGTCTTGAAGCGTTAGCTCAATAGCTCAATAACAAGGAACAATCTAGAATAAGATTCCCCCAATAAATTCCCCTTTTCCAAGGTCCAACCATTAGGTGTAATCGTGTGTGCCCTAATTTATGCCCCAACCCCCATTGGTGACACAAACATGGCTATGAAGCTAGTAACTATGGCCATTAATTACAAGCATCAAACAATATTATCACGATTGCAACACAAGTATTAAACCCAAATAATAATATATTAAAGAAACTGAGAGCTCAGACACATAGGTTCATAAACACTTTTACCCAAGAATCTCCAAAGAATTTAGCCAAGCATGGCTAAACTATACATAGCAAATATAAATAAAGAATTACAAATAATCAAAAGAGTACAATAATTAACCAGACGATTTTACCAAATCTCCCTAGTCTTCTTCTTGCTTTCCAAGACAACTTGTGGCTCTTGATTTCTCTCCTTCTTGTCTCCAAGAATCTCTGAATTCTAAACTATGAATTGTAAATTATCTATTCTAATTATTTACTCTAAACTACCATTTTTTTTCCTTAGGGTTGATGAAAGTGGGATTTTATAGTAGGTATAAAGCTGAGGTGGAATTGGAATATTTCCTAATTTCTTTTGGAAGTTTATCTTTGGAATGATTGGGCAATTATTGTAGCCATCTTGCTTTGGAATATTGCTATTTTAAATTAGGAAGTTTCTAAAAATTGCGCCCAGTGCAATAGGTACGGTTTGCAAGCTTATTTTGACCCTTTTCGCTTATTATCTAGACTGTTATGTATTCATAAGAGTTGTAGCGCGTCCAGTCTTCTTTTCAATGGCGCAAGAATCACCACAATCGGACATTCCTAGCATGCGATATGATCAAAATACTAAACTATCGCCAATCTATGCGAGATGAAATGTTACTTGAAATTTTCGACGCGTCGAGCCCGTCGAGTTTTTTGCTGAGTCATAGGTTGTAGCCCTTCGAGTCTTCTTTCCAATGGTGCAAGAATTACCTGAATCGGACATTCCTAGCATGAGATATGATCAAAATACTAAGCTGTCGCCGAATTCAACGGGAATTACAACTCTTCGGTCTTTTGATCCACTTTTGACTCCAATTTTGTCCTAGGACTTCCCTTGCTTTTAACTTTGACCTAAAATGGTTCAAAAACACTAACAAACACAGTAAAGCATTCAATACAAGTGTTAACCATAATTAAATGATAATTGCAAGGAAAACATGTATTAAATAAGCAAAATTAAAGAACTTAGTTACTGAGATGATTCAAAATAACTATAAAAACAAGCACATTTGTGATAACATCACCCCCTCACACTTAAACATTTGCTTTTCCTCAAGCAAAACCAAGGAATAAAATCACAAGTCAAAACATACAAATTGCTCATGCTCTCTCTTGCACAACCTTTCAAGCCACCAACCAACTTGCTACAAAACAACAAGCTTCAAGAATCAAATTAGTTTGGCACATAAGAAACCCATTTCCAAGCCAATAAACAAGCACCAAGAATTTAAAGTATGTGAGGATCAAGTGCGCACATGTACTCCGTTGAGATTATGCAAGACACGGTTCACGAATGAGATCCCATAAGCTTGCCTATCATACTCCCCTGGATCAAATCTAAGAACGGATGCTAAGATCAAATAGGACTTTATTAAGCTTGTAATTGGGCTACGGGTGATGGCTAACAAAGAAGTGGTATGGAAAAATTAATCAAAAAGCGAGAATGTCACAATTTATCTAAACTTTTCAAAATTTGGAAGAGATGAGATAATCATAATTTTAAGGAGCAAATTTCTTTTAAGAACTTAGCAACTCTTTGGAAAAGTGAGGATCCAAACTCAAAAAACATTCAATCATTCTTTCTTCGTTTCTTTTCTTTTCTCTTTTTTTTTTTCGATTCTTCTTTGGATTTCTTTTGAATACTGCAAGACAATTTTAATCCAATCTTTCAATTCCTTCTCACTTGAACATTTGTAATATCAGCTGCTTTTTGGCACAACTCTATAAAGCTCTTCTTACAGAAATAATAAAGATAAAAGTTCCATTCTCTCAAAGGGTGGAAGGGGAAATATTTGGCCAAGGGCTAAGGGTTATAATAATGGAGGTAAATCAAAGAAAAACAATCACAATGAGGGGATAAGTGCTTAGCACTTATTTAAACAAACAAAAGACACAATGGGGACACAAAGGATAAAAATATATATAGGGAACAGGTTTAAAGGCTATGGCTAAACAAAAATGGCCTAAATCACTTCAAAACATGCTAAACTTAGACATCACTTAGGGAGTAATGAGGCAAGTTCTAGCAAAACACCCATGACCGGAATCTCACATAAGCCTTCACTAGCAATGCATAACACACAAGATCAAGAATTAATCCAATTATTAAGTGGTTAACAAAGCTATTGGCAAGGGAATAGATCAATTATGTGTTACACCTCAAATCATCAATCACAAATTGAGATGCAGCAAGCACCACTAAAACAACTCACTAACCGACAAGAGAGAGTAATTGCAATTGCATGCTAAGACAAGTAACTTATTCACCAAATATAGCATATGAGTCATACAAGAAAAAGCAAAACAAAATTTAAATTTTTTTTAAAAATATGCCCCAAATTAATGACTCCTCCCCCACACTTAAAAATTTGCATCGTCCTTGATGCGAAATAAAAGAAAAGGAGAACAAGAGAAAAGAGAAAACCAAAAAGCAATAAAATAATCACGAACTAGAAAGCAATAAAACTAAATAAGACAAAACTAGAAAGCAATAAATAAATATGGAAAGTAATAAAAGATAACATGGGGTGCTTCCCATGAAGCGCTAAATTTAACGTCGTTAGCTCGAC